GTCTGATATAAGTATAGCCATCCTACTGTCTTTTGGTTTCCATTTGTGTGGAGTATTATTTTCTATCCCTTCACTTTCAGTCTATGTCTAAAAGTGAGGTGAGTCTCTTGTAGGCAGCATATAGTTAGGTCTTATTTTATCCATTCAGCCACTCTGTCTTTTTATTGGAGAAATTAATCCATTGACATTCAATTGTTGCTAGGTAAGGACTTACTACAGTCATTTTGTTAGTTGTTTCTGATTGTTTTGTACATACTTCATTTCTTTCCTCCTCTCTTGCTGTATTCCTTTGTGGTTTGTTTTCTATAGGAGTATGCTTTGATATTTTTGCTTTGTGCTTCTAAAGATTTTTGCTTTGTGGTTACTATTAGGCTTACATGGAACATCTTATACTTACACCTATTTTAAGCTTATAACTACTTAACTTTGCATATAACTCTATACTTTTACACCATCATTACAATCCAATAGTATTCTGAATGGGCTCTGCTTTATTTATACGTTTGAGTTTTGTGCATGTTTCATGTTATTAATTACCAGTTTTTTGTTTCAGTTTAAGTAACTCCATTTAGCAATTCCTACAAGGCAGGTCTAGTGATGATGAATTCCTTTAGCTTTTGTTTGTCTGGGAAAACAAACTTTTTTTTTTTACTTCTCCCTCATTTATGAAAGACAGCTTTGCTGGATAAAGTATTATTGGTTGGCAGTTGTTCTCTTGTGCACTTTGAATTTATCCTAATCTCTCCTGGCCTGCAGGGTTTATGCTGAGAATTCTGCCAATGGTTGTATGGCACTCCTTTTTATGTGATACGTTTCTTGCCTCTTGATGCTCTCAAAATTTTTTGCCTTTGATTTTTGATAGTTTATTATGTGTTGTGGTGTACTCCTCTTTGGGTTGAATTTGGTTGGAAACCTCTGCAGTTCCTATACCTGGATGTTGGCATCTACCACAGATTAAGGAAGTTTTTAGCCATTATTTCTTTAAATATGCTTTTTGGCCCCTTTAAATATGCTTTTCAGGCACCTCTTTTTTTTTTTGCTCCTGACTAATTTCAAATATTCTGATTCTTCTTGATTGAATCAGCTGTTGAAGCTTTCTGTTGAATTTTTCAGTCTCTTGAACTTCTATCCCATTCTTATTGTTTCTATTTATCAGCTTTATTTTTAGTGTACCATTTTCAAATTTCATTAAATTTTTTATCTGTATATACATTAGTAGTTCACTGAACTTCTTTACAGGTATTATTCTGAATTGTCAGTTATTTCATAAATCTCCATTTCTTTGGGGCCTATTATTGGAGCTTTATTAGTTTCTTTTGTAGATGTCATGATTGTCTGATTCTTCGTAATCTGTATGTTCTTGTATTGTTGTCTGTGCATTTGAGGAGACAGCCCCCTCTTCTGGCCGTTACAGGTGTTCTTGGGCAGGGATAGCCCTTCACTATTTAGTCTATCCTATGATTCTGGAAGGATCAGCTGATGATAACCCCAGGCAGGCAGAGCTTCTTGTGAGTTCTCTAGCTGACTGGGCCACTGCCTTTGCTGTATTGAGTGGAATTGCTGGTTGGGTATTGCAATGACTTCTGGTCAGACTGGCCACTTCTGGTACTGCCTGGCTGATAATTCTGATATTTGGGACCTGCAATTGGGCAGGGCTGTAGACTGGGCTACAAGGTTAGGCGGAGTCACTACTCATAACATGTGTGTCCAGAGGCTGTACTCCTTAGAAATGTGCAATTAAGGGTTGCTTCCATCAGGATGAAGCCATGGAGTGAAATTTTGGCCGAGTTCAGTGGCTTTTGGTCTCCAGAGTTTTAAGCAGGTCTAGCCACTTTGCTTCTTCCGGATGTGTGGAGGTGGAAGTCTCTTTGCCTGGGCAGGGTCATTGGAAGTGCTTTTTGGCTTGGTGGAGCTGCTGCTTGACTTCTAAGGTCAAGGTGGTCTAGCCCCTTCACTTCTCCAAAATAAAAGGCAGGCATCTACCTTCCTGGCAGGGTTGTTGGGAGTTGGCTCTGAAGCTAGGCAGGAAGACCAGTAGTGTAGGCACTCAGGCTCAGGCTAGATTGTACTTCCCACTGTCTTTTTTTTTTTTTTTTTTGAGATGGAGTCTTGCTCTGTCGCCCAGGCTGGAGTGTAGTGGCACAATCTCGGCTCACTGCAACCTCTGCCTCCCGAGTTCAAGCAATTCTCCTGTGTCAGCCTCGCGAGTAGTTGGGATTACAGGCGTGAGCCACCATGCCCAGCTAATTTTTGTATTTTTTGTAGAGACAGGGTTTCACAGGCTGGTCTTGAACTCAGCGACCTCAAGTGATCCACCCACCTCAGCCTCCCAAAGTGCTGGGATTACAGGCATGAGCCACCACACCCAGCCCCCACTGTGCAAATTTTGAAGGTCACCAGCTCAGCCTTGCAGGTGGGCTATGAGGTTGGCTGATATCTTTGATCAGGCACCTCAGCCAAGCAGGAACACAGAGGTCCACCAGTATCTGCATGCTGTTCACTACCTCTGCTTCCTTTCTTTGTTTCTACCTGATTCCAGGCAGTCTAGCCATGTGGTTTCCCCTAGTGCTTCTCATGAGATGAGACCGGACTGGGCTTCCTGGGAAGCATCTTGGAATGCTAGGGAAACTGGATCTGGTTTTCTTTTCCCCCTGTATAAACTGTTGGCCTAGGGAATTCTTCATCTGGCATTATGTCAACTTGGGGGAAGGGAGTGAGCAATATAGTCAAAGTGAGACTGTTCTTACCCTTTGAATTCAGATTTCATTAAGCTTTATGGACCATACTAGTGTCTCAGACTAGTTTCTAAGTGTTGGGGTTTTCAAAAAGATGTTCTAGTCTGTGGAGTTGCTAGCTGAACTTTCTATGAAAGCAAGTGGAGGCTGAGACTTCCTACTCTGCCGTCTTGCTCTGTTTTTTATTTTCTCTTACATGGACTTTTAAAAGAGTTGGCTAGTCTCCTACTTGTAGTCTCATCGACATTGCCCCATCTCCAAACCTTCTACATACTGCTTTCAAAGTTGTCTAAGAGAGGACAGTGGTTCTCAAACTTCAGCATTCCTAAAAATCACCTGGACAGCATGTTAAAACAGATTGTGGGCTCCATGTAGTTTCTTACTCAGCAGGTGTGGAGTAGGGCTTGAAAATGTCCATTTTTAACAAGTTTCCAGTTAAGTGATGCTGATGCTGCTGACCTAGAGATTACTTTGGGAACTACAACCCATTGGATCGTAAGTTATTCTTAGCTTAAAATCTTTCATTAGCTATCTTCTGTCTACAAAAGTCCCAAGACATCTGTCAGCTTATTTGAAGTACTTATGAAAAGTGCACTTTATTGGGCTTCACACTCAAGATTCTTAATAGATCTGATATCTATTACATATCTCATACATATTTCTATTAATGAACACCTTTGTGTGACAATTGGTTTACTTGTCTGTCTTCTATTAGTTAATGAACTCGAACATCACTATCTCCAGCACCAGTGTTTGGCATATAATTGCCCAGTACATAGAAATAAGATGCCTGGCTAGCTCAGTTAATAGAAATTTAAAAAAAAATTAATTAAAAAAAAAAGGGAGAAATGGCAGAACAGGTGGCAGTGGTGGTGACTGATAGGGACAGGAAGGAAAGGAGGATCAGGAATATAAACATGGAATCAGAGTAAATAGGATATTGAGGAAAACTTCTGTCATGCTCATTCCTGTGAACTGCCCTCCTCTATTCATTTATTTACCCACCTTAGACCACCCAGACTAGTCAAGTATCTTCTTTCCTTTTCCAGTATCCAAGTCCACCCAACTGAACTTTTGCTAAACCATGCTTTCCACAAACATTTTTAACTTCCCAACAAAGAATTACAAAAAAGGTCATTATTTAATGATTACACATTTTTCCACTATCACTGAGCAAATATGGTGTCCCTTCTGTTACATGAACTATAATAGGATATCCAGGTAACTAGTAATTTTTCTCTCTTCCATGAACATGGCCCCTACAAAAACAAAACAAACAAAAACAAAAACAAAAAAAACAGCTGGAATGTGTAGAACACGTTGAACTAAACGGTCTTATGCCCCTTATGCTGCCATATCTGGAGGTGAGGGTAGGAGGAACTTTGCAATTCCATTAGCCAAAATTTATTTTTATTTATTTCTTATATCCATTTATTTATTTAGCCAAGCCAGTATCTGGTTCTGTGCTATTCCCTTAGGACAGGACCAAGACAGATCAAGCCAGAAGGGGCATCATATCAGTTTATAAGACTGGTCTGTTATCTCTAATCAGGGTTATCTGGGTTACTTTTCCAAGCTACAGCCAACTTGGGGCAATTTTGATGAGATATCTCTGTGCCCATGCCACCCATTTTGCTCTAAACTACTGAGTAATCTCATCAAAATGTTTGCTGCCAAGAGAAGCATACTTTAAGATCCTATGGAAAGCATAGAGAGATGGCAGATTCCCTATCCTTCTCACCCCTACCTCAAGAACCACTATATTTAGGCTGAACTACTTTAAAAAGCAACTAACTAATATACTTATTTTCGTGCTATTCTTCCAATATACCAACAGTGCCCTTGCTGCTACTGTAACATGGCATTTTCCCCAAAGCTATTTATATGATTCAGTCTTGCTTTTGCTTTTGCTCAAAAATCATCTCCTCAAAGATGCCTTCTAGCAGTGCCATTCTTACCACTATTTCCTTGCCCTGATTTCCCTTTGCTGCACTTATCACTACTACCAGGGAATGTTATATTATACATAAATTTATTTGCTGTATTTTCTGCACCACCTAACTCCCCCATCCTCATGCATATTTTAAGCTCTGTGCAGGTAGGACCTTTGCATTTCTTATTCACTGCTATATCCCCAGGGCCTAGTGTAGTGTCTAGTGGTTAATATATCTTTGTTGAATGGTTGAACAGACTCAGACTGAATGCCAAATAATGTTAACTTAAAAAAAAGTATATGCATCAAAATATTTAAGGAAACAATTATTAATTTAAACATAAACTGATATTGGGTACCTTGGTTTTATACACACTCCTCACAATGCTTCCTTTGGTGAAACCTTTCAGAACTCTTCTGCAAGAATTATTTTCAGAGCCAGCTTGTGAACTACATGATTGGTCTTTTTACTTCATAAGTCTTATTTTGTCTCACCAGAAGTTTCAGAGTGTAACAAACCAAACTCAGCACAGAAAACATAAGACAATATAGTTTAGATTCTCTAAGACAAGGTCTCATAAATTTAGATGACAAGTGACAATATCAATGGGCTAAGTATATCACCTCCCATAACCTAAAGGGCTAATACTCATAAGCATAAAAGTTCTGGAGTATGAAATTTAAAACACAAATTTTGGATATAAATTATCTGAATACAAAGCTGTAGGTAATTCTTATCTTTCACTTCTCCTCGTAACTCCAAACATAATGCCACTGTAGGTGGGTTGCTGCTAGACTACATCCAAGATTGTTCAGCTGAGGACTTGCCCATTCTCCCAGTTACCTGGAATTTTCAACCTTCCGATACTCTAGCCAACAAGGCATTTGCACTCAGCTTCTTCTACTGATCTAGCCACACATCATCTCCTTCATGAATGCGGGCAGTCTAAAGACTTCCTGTCTTGTAAAGTATTGTTTCAAACAACTAAAAGGAAAATCTTTGGAAGCAGAAGTGGAAAAACAGGAAAAGTGGCAGCAAAACCCTGAGCCTCAGGATAGTAGCTTATTCAAAAGTATATTTACACGTCACAGGGTAAAATAGACCAGCTGAGTCCCTATCTTAGAAAGGAAGCCTACTGCTTCCTCCTAGTAGGCAACAAAGAGAACCCCACCTAGGACTTTAACCCACTCTTTTCCCGATGTATTCCAATACTATTAGCCAGCTGAACTAAAAGAGAATGGGTGCTGGTAGGCAACTCCACTGATCTCCCTTTCTTTAGCAATAATTACTGGCCAGCTGAGGGCTAAAGATAATGAAGATTGAAAGAAAAGCAGACATACCAAAGGTACTGTGTCAAGTAATACATGAGATGTGTTCATAAACGAATGAGTTATTCCAGAGCCATACAAACAAATCAATCTCTTTACTGGACAGGCATACCTCTCATATGTATATTATTCAAATATACTAACACATGAAAGATCACATCACCTTGTTTACGGATACATTTAATATCCCTTACCCTTCCCGACTTTCAAAACATAATAGTATACAAAATATAAAATATCTTAAATATTTATAAAAATCACAAGAAAAAAATAGAACGTATGAAAATATTTTTATCTGAGTTCTCCCTCATTGTTGAGAGGCAGCTTAGTTTGCCTTGAGTTCATAACTGTTGAGTGGGTAGGAGTATGCCCTGCCTAATACTATTCTGTCCCGGAGAAGTTTAAATAAAACATAGTAGTTGCAGAAGAGGATGAGAGCCATGGAAAGTGTGTGGTTCCACTTCTCCGACCGCAGCAAGGAATAGAGCTGATAGAAGACGACACTGCCCTCAATAAGGATAAGCAGATTTAACAGCCTTAATGGTCGATGAAATAAGAACTGTAAGGAAGTTAAAAAAGCAAAACGTTATTTCATAGAAAAGTAATGGCTGTAGTTATTCTTGCATTTATTTTTCTAAAATAATTTAATATTTACAGGTTCCCATATATAATAACAAATAGATCTGTTTATTTACTATCAGGCTATTTCTTGCTATAAAGACTGAAACATTTTCCTTTTTGCCCAAGAAATAATGAAATAAGTTTTATTTCAATGCCCCTGAGACACGAAAAGAGATTATGCCCAAAAGAAAACTACTTATAAACATTTTTCTTAGACTGTATCTTAGGTATAGATTTTATTTAGGGTAAACACGAAAGTATATTTATCTAAGACAGAGGTGGATAAAGGACCAAATAGGAAATATTTTAGGCTTTGTAAGTCAAGAGGCAAAAGTTAAGGATATTACATAGGTACTTATGTAACCACTTAAAAATGTAAAAAACATTCTTGGCTTGTAAACTAAGACATAAATACCAACACTAGAGAAGTTTGGGGAAAAGAGAGGTTACAAATCAAATATCAATATAATAGTTTTTTAATTTTTCCTTAAACTGTTTACCCACCATGGTCACTTACTGAAATCCTCTACACCATATACCTGTGTGTTTAATTACTGATTTTCTTCTGGATATTGAGAAGTAGGGTACACAAAGACAGGATAAGGAGGAAGGAAAAATGAGTCAGAATTAGACTAAAAATAGGGCTTACTACTATATTTACTCCCACTAAATTCTCCACTCTAAAAGGCTAAATTCTGGTTTTCTAATACAAAGTTATGAATACAAACATATAGGCCACAAGTTGTAAAGGAACATTAACAGTTCAGTTTAACCAGTCTAATCCTAAATCTAGATGAAGACAAACAGTACAGTAACAGCAGTGATCAGATCTAAAAGAACTAATTTAAATGGAACTTAGATCTCAGAGCTTACACCTCAGAATGAAGCCAAATTATCCTGACAGCTTTAAGTTTCCAGGTTCAAGAGGAAGAAAATGTTTAACCTGGAGTCTGACAGCAATAGGTAATAGGCACATTTTAAATGACTGTTTTGAAACTTCGGTGTGCCTAAGAATCATTTCCAAATCCACAAATGCTGCCAATTCCTGGGATCATCCAGAGATTCTGGTTCAGAAGTCTGATATAGGGGCCCTGAATCACTTTTTAAAAATAGTGGGCCAGGTGGCCCATGGATCACTTGGAGAAGCACTGATTTAACTATCTATCCAGTCCTGCAAAATCAGTAATAAATCAACTTGCCTAATCTTCTTTCCATGGATTCCATCTGATTTTTCAGCTGTCCAAAGCTAGCAAGGAAAATACCTAATTTTCACGCAGAAAATTCTAATGAACTATTTGGCTATCACAGGTCTCAAGGAGATAGCAAGGACCAACAGAAGTCATTAATGGCCTAGAGAATTCAGCTGGCTGAATTAAATATTCTATACAGAAATCAAATGCTCATGTACTTGTGACTTAAGTCCTTTCCTCCACCTTAAGGCATTTCCACTGGCGTCAAGAAGGAGATGCCTGTCATTTTCTCATTCAAGGGCCTTTCACCTTCCCCATGTTCCTCCCAACCTGCCCCACCCTGCATTCCCCTACCATGGTATTTATAAGCATCATGCCTGGTGCAAGTTCCCAATATTTAATTGAAGTGTCCCTCAGTAACAAACACCTGCAGAACCAGAAAGTACATGTACCCCCCTCACAGGAACTGGGAAGGACTGAGGGAGAAAGAGATGCAAGTATTTTTAAAAGATCTTCAATTCTTGTTTAGAATATGATCCCCTTTCAAAAGCAACGCACTGCACTATGGGCATTTTTACTATAAACAGTCCCCCACAGGCACCTAGTTTTCCCCACTCGCATTGGTCAGCTGGTCTTTCTTTTATAAGTATATACTTTTGCCTTGTACAGATAATTTCTGGAAGGCTGAAAGACCAAATAGATCATAACCAAAGGGATGAGTTCAATGGAACAGAAGCTGGATATAGTGAGTTTCTATTGCTTTTTCCTTTTTTAACTTTTAAGCTTTTTTTCCTTTTGATGGCATTTATCTGACTTCCAAAGGGGAAGCTAAAGCCTTTTTAAAGAAACAACATATATGACAAATACCTAAAAATAAAACCACCACACTATTAATATATTAAATGTCACTTATGGATACACAGATACAGTATATCTTAACAATACCACTAAACCAAACTCTTACAAAACAAAAATGGTAAGATGAAAAAGGAGTCTTAGATAGCTGCCTATTTGTTTCAAGTAATACTAGATTCAACAAATACCAATGTAACTACAGAAACCAGCTAAGCCACTAAAACTGGAATAATGGTATATGATCTTCAATCTGCCCTTCAGAAGACATTTCCAAAGTACAGGGACCACTGTTACGCTAGTGGCAATAATTACCTTGTAATAATTTCCTAGTATGTGCTACACACTATGCTACATGCTTCCACACAGGTGGCCTCCTAACACTTACCCCTAAGCTTATGTTTGAAAATAAATAAGTGGTACTTGCATAAAAGCGGGCATGGGATACATCTGAAGGCACTGCCACGTTGTAAGGCCCCATGGCTCTATATAAACATCTGCTGTGCCGCACCAGCACCCCTTGAGGCCATATTGTATTTTCTGACCAACTAAGGGAGAAAGAAATGCAATGTTAGCATATTGGCAATTACAGATAAGATAGTATCTGGCAAGGCCAGCTGTATTTTAATGGAAGGAATTAAACAATCAAGGCTTCATCTGCCTGAAAATACAGTAATTACTGAAAATACAGTAATTCCATGGTCAAACTGGAGTAGTTTTAGAAAGGATTTGTTACTTTAAATTCATTGCTATATAGTACACAGAGGTTGCAAAGAAGTACAGTTAACTCAGTGTCAAAGGACTTAAGAGGCTTAGAAGAATGAGCAGACATAAATGTGTAAGCCAGAAAATAGTGTGGCTATGAGTCACACTATGAGCCAGAAAATAGTGTGTAAGCAGGCAGACTGTCATCTCCATCCCAAGTGAGCAGTCTACTGGTGGAAATGCTAGAGGGAACAAACAAGAAGAGAAAGCTGATGGTAATAAGCGTAGTGGAGAAATTAGCACATTGTCAATCTAGCATGACATTTACTGCAGAATTACATCCCAAAAAACTATAGGAAATCAGTTTGCTTATCACACAATTCAAATACCTCACAACTGTAAGAAGGTATACAGTAGAACACAGCGACACATCTCACACACACACAGACTTTTCACTGCTTTTGTGGTTTATTTTTATAGGTTTCTCTGGGGGAAAAGAAGTTACAGAAGCAGCAGCTTCATTCTTTCCAGCACAATGGAGTTTGGGTGGGGACAGGGATCTTCAGGTTAAGCTTTTTTTAAAAAAATCTAAGTTAATTCATCTCTTCCTGATTTTGGAAAGGTTAGTTTCCTAGGGTAAGAACTGGGAGGCAGTTTAGATATGTTATTTAAAAAAAAAAAAAAAAATTCTAGCACCCTGAAGCTTTCCCAGTTCAGAAAATGTTCCACCAGCCTTGCTGACACTTACCAGCATTAAAGTGATGATACACCTCATGGCCATGTGCCATCAGTAGCCTGAAGATGTACAGTACTAGTACTGTGGATTGTATTTTCAATTTTTATTGAAATCTGTCCTTTGCCCACAGTCGGGTTTCTTTTCAGCCTGGCCCAATCTCTTTCAGTTCCTGGGCTTGAAGGCCTGTGCTAATCTGTATCAGACATCAAGGCAGATAATTGAAGGGAGAACTCTCAGGGGGAGAGGGAAAGGGAAGGTCACCTCAATCTGTCCCACTTAACTAGGGAAAAATTTCTAGGAGATGAAATTTGTGAAATGTTCGAATTACAAAAGGGGGAAGATGAAGATGGTTTGGGTCTGAAAGAAAAGTATGATGAAGGACTCAGAAGTGACAGAATAAAACGGTCCTAATGTTAGCCATTTTGGATCACAGGAGCCATGTGGAGTAATGACTGATAAGGGGGACACAATGAGAAAAATTCTTCCAAAGAACTCACAGTCAGGCACAGTTCTCACTTAAACACAGGAGAAGCAGGGAAATATTCAGTAGAGAGTTTAGAAAGAAAATAATAGTAAAAAAGTACAGGTAAGGAAAATTACTAGAATAAAACTGCATGTATTAGAAAGAAAAAAATGAGAGAAGCATATTCCAGCTAAGTGTGAGATGAGTAGCTAGCAACTACTCAGCTGTGGCAATGAAGATGAGAAGACAAATCTTAAAGTCTTCTAAAGAGGAATAAAATATATGACTCTTTGCATTTGGGCAAAGGGGTAAATCTGAAAGAAAACTCCAATTGCATTGCTTGGGAGACAAATTATACACTCTAAGAGTGACTGGGCAGCTGAAAGGTAGAACGCATTTAAGAAGCTGGGGGTGGTGGTGGAAATGAGTTAATGTCCCTTGTATTCAGTTTAGCATGATGACAAGCATCCATGTAAGACAAAAACTAAAAATTAAATGTTCAAAGCCAAGAGCAAGAATGACATACAAAGCAAATAAACATGATCAGCAGCATGTAGGAAGTGTTACATGGTTTTACCCTCTAGCTTACTCACATGTGCTGGGGAGCATTGCTGTAGGACCCATGTTCCAGCTTCTGCCACTTGCCCAGGTGAGCAGCTGATTTATGTAGCAAATCACAGTATTTGGATGGCAACAGTTGCGTGGTGAGCATGACAAAAGCATTGATCCACACCATAATGAGGTGCTCGCATGACCAGCGCATGTCATAGTACTGGGTACTCTGGAAGAGATCAGAAGAGAGAGAAATGATACATGCACTGGTAAAAAGAGGCAGGGATGGGTGCGTGTACATATGCCCTGCAGACAAATGCCACACTGAATCACACATGCACTGGTGGTCCTGCTGTCCGTGCAGAAAGTTCAAGAGCAGAGTCCTCCACAATCCTTCAACCTGACTTTCTGGCTGTATGAGTTAGGGATGGGAGGGAGAGGCGATTATATTTTAAGTGTCTCCTTTCTAGAAGAACTGAGTGTTCTCTGAAGGACCATTCCGGCTGCAGAAGTACTTCTGAATGGGTAAAGAAAGGGCACTAAAATGTCCCAAAAGATTTTGGGCCCAAGTGACATCCAGACCATTTTTCTTTTCTATTGAAGTAAACTGAAGTTTAGATAAAGGTTAGATTAAATTCAAGGAAACTCCTGACAACCATGTTAAGATCAACCATATAGTAGGCTGAGTTTTACTGAAACCTTGGTCCTCTTAAGCTACTACATACTGATTCTATTATAAGTATATTTTGATTCTCCCCAGAAACTAAAAATACTTAAAAAAAAAAAAAAAAAAAAAAGAGGGGACCACCACGGGTGCATCACATATATGGAAATACCTATCCGCCAACCAGGAGCGGTATTAGTGCACTCCAGATGCAGCCGAACTCCACCATCCAGGCTGCCAAAGGGGAGACAGAGAAAAGGGGGATTAAACAAGAAATACCCAGTTTATGTAATTCACACACAGATCCAGGAAGCACATAAAAGTAAGATAACCACTTACCTTCACAAAACACAGGGGGAGAAATGCAACATAGTAGGCACTGAAGAGGGAGTTGAAGAGAACCTCCTTGATTCTGTGGTTGAAATCTGCTTTCAGACATTCTACTTCATTGCGAATGAGGTCTGGAGATAGGGGACAACTGTGGGTGGGGATGGGTGTGGCATTATTAAACTGTTCTTTTAGAGACTCCAGCAACAAGGAGAGAAAGTCTTTGGATTTGGCCAAGCCTCCCACAGTCGAGGCACTTTCCTCTACTGCCTGGTGCTGAACCACATAGTTATAGTCTGTGAGAAGAAGGTGAGCTCTACTATCTTGATGAAAACAGCAAAGAGGAACATAAACACCAAACCTGTAAAACAAAGTGTGAAAATGAGACCCCAGATACCACCTTAAATCACACCTTATAACTCATGTCAATATAACTTACAACTTATGTCAATAAAATAGTCAGGACCCACAAGAGTAAACATAACTCAGGAGGGGCACTGCTGATAGTAAATTCATTATCTGGAGAGCTCTTCAATTTCTTTCCATAAAAGCCGTGTACATTCATTGTAGATTATAGAGAACCTACAGAAAACCACAATGGCAAAACACACATCACCTAGCAATACTCATTTTTATAACTAGATGCACATATTTCCAAAATAAAGTTTCTAAACTTTATATATAGTTACATATGCTTTTTTCCTTTTATGTTTGGCCTCATACAGTACAATGTGTTTTGTATCCTGCTGTTTTAACTTTGCATGTGTGCATGTGTGTGTACTGAGTATTTTCCATGTGCACTGAGTATTTTCTCAAGTCTAAATATTTTTCTATGGCAATTTTTAAAGATACAATAGTATTCTCATATAGAGATGCCATAATTTACCCATTTCTCTCTTGCTGGAAACTTAGGCTGTTTCTTATTTTCCACTACTATAAATAACAATGTGATAAGGATTTTCCTAACACGTGTTTACATTTGGTCATTTTAGTACAGCTTGTCCTTCACTTCAAATGTCCCCTTCTTAGTAGGGGACCCTCCTGCCTCCCTACTGTATCACTCATCCCACTCCCACAGGCGACCCTCGTTCTCCTTTCCTGCTTATTTTTCTCCACAGATCTTACCATGTTTATTCGATTTTTAACTCTGGGGCAGTTTTGGTGTTTTCTTTCTGAGTCATTCTAGAAGTACAAATGAATTTTTAAAAGTAAAATTACTTGGTTAAAGAAGTGAATTATTTTTGAGACTTTTGATAACTTCTTATAGTATTCCAACTGTTGGTTCCTCAAAATTTTTTTAAATACTTCAAGTCCTCATTAAGTAATTTCCACATTGTGACCTAGGTATTATAAATTAAATGCTCATTTCACGGACATAAATTCAGATATGAAAAATAGCAAATAAAAAGATATTTAGGGCCAGCCACAGTCCCTCATGCCTATAATCCCAGCACTTTGAGAGGCCAAGGCAAGTGGGTCACCTGAGGTCAAGAGTTCAAGACCAGCCTGGTGAACATGGTGAAACCCTGTCTCTACTAATAATACAAAAATTAGCTGGGTGTGGTGGCGCGTGCCTGTAATCCCAGCTACTCGGAGGCTGAGGCAGGAGAATCACTTGAACCTTGGAGGTGGAGACTGCAGTGAGCCAAGATCACACCACTGCACTCCAGCCTGGGCGACAAGAGCAAAACTCCTTCTCAAAAAAAAAAAAAAAAAGATATTTAGTTATACATTTTATTACAAACTGAACAAATGACACTTATCCATAGTTTTCTACACAGGGAGAACAGATGTTACTTGTAACTAATTAAGAACATTCTTAGCATTAGCTCTGGGATCCACTGTGAATGTGCCCTTGGGAGGACATGAGTGGGTAGGGGTAGAAGTATTAATTCTAATTTTTTTTTGTTTTTGAGACGGAGTCTCACTCTGTCGCCCAGGCTGAAGTGCAGTGGTTCCATCTCGGCTCACTGCAAGCTCCACCTCCCTTTTCACGCCATTCTCCTGCCTCAGCCTCCTGAGTAGCTGGGACTACAGGCGCCTGCCACCACGCCCGGATAATTTTTAAAAATTTTTTTAGTAGAGACAGGGTTTCATCATGTTAGCCAGGATGGTCTCAATCTCCTTACCTCATGATCAGCCCACCTCAGCCTCCCAAAGTGCTGGGATTACAGGCATGAGCCACCACACCTGGCCTAATTCTAATTTTCATTTATTTATTTATTTTGAGAGAAGGTCTTACTCTGTCGCCCAGACTGGAGTATAGTAGCGAGATTATGGCTCACTGAAGCCTCAGCTTCTCGGGCTCAGGCAATTCTCCTGCCTCAGCCTGCCAAGTAGCTAGGACTACAGGCGCATGCCACTACATGCAGCTAATTATTTTATTTTTGGTATAAACAGGGTCTCCCTATGTTGCTCAATCTGTTCTTGAACTCCTGTGCTCAAGTGATCCTACCGCCTGGGCCTTGCAAAGTGCTGGGATTACAGGTGTGAGCCCCCACACCCAGTCAGAAATAGAAGTATTAGACAAAAAAACTCTCATATGTGCATATTTGTGATGGCTACAGCAGGTCATCATAAGTTCAATACTGCCAAAACACAAGCTGCATGTGTAGGCGTAGGGATGGGGATAAGAGGCGGAGTGTGTGGTAGATTGCAATGATGGTCCCAATTCTTTACCCTTCTTTGTAGTCTCATTGCCACATAACTGCATGGCCCTCATTCTATGGGTGAGGCCACCTGCCCTATCCCCATACTGGGCTCTACAATGGAGGGCTTTGTAAGGTAAATAAAATAATTAATTAAAGGATTTTAAAGAGGGTTAGTAACATGATTAAATTTCCCATTGTGAAAATCATTCTAGCTACAATAAAAATGAAATGGAGGGGAACAAGAATGGATTATCAGAAGACCAGAAGAAGGTTGATAATGCAATAGTAAAAACTATGGAGAGCACTGGACCCAATTCAAGACACACTTAGGAACCACAACTGTTAGACTTTAGACTAATTTACCCTAATGAGAAACTATTTGAGAACCGAAGGGGGAAAAAGCGAGGCAGAAAAGGGCCTCTTTCTTATTTTAACCTATGAATAAACAGGAAATTAAATATGTTGCTATTGTCATAATCTAGTATTTTAAATTTCTCACACTTTCAATTTTTAAATTGAAGTTTAGATAAAAGGTAGATTATACAACTTCTTAAAAGTAAAGAAGGCTAACACAGGCAGACCTCATTTTATTGCATTTCACTTCATTGCACGTCCCAGACACATTATTATAAACTGAAGGTTTGTGGCAACCCTGCATCAAGCATATCTGGGGGTACCATTTTCCAAAGTGCTCACTTTGTGTCTCTGTCATATTTTGAGAATTCTCCCAATATTTCAAACTTTTTCATTACTATTACATCTGTTATACGAAATGTGATCTTTGATATTACTACTGTAATTGTTTTGGGGTACTACAAACTGCACCCATATGAGATAGCAAACTTAATGGATGAAAGTGTGTGCTCACTGCTCCATCAATGAGCCATTCCCCTCTCCCTCTCCCTCACGTCAGGCCTCCCTATTCCCTAAAACACAAGAATATTGAAATTAGGCCAACTAATAACCCTAAATGGCCTCCGAGTGTTCAAATCCTACCACCTTTAAGAATTATGCAAAATCTACTCTGTCAATGCTCTAGAAATAGAACAACATAATCTGGATGACAGGACATCTGTTTATAGCATGGTTTACTAATAAGCTCACTGTTGAACCTACTGCTTAGAAAAAAGATACCCTTAAAAATATTATGCACGGCTGGGTGTGGTGGCTCAAGCCTATAATCCCAGCACTTTGGGAGCCTGAGGCAGGACAATCACTTGAACCTGGGAGGCAGAGGTTGCAGTGAGCCGAGATCATGCCACTGCATTCCAGCCTGGGCAACACCATGCTAAATGCCATTGAGAACATCTGTGATTTATGAGAGGAGGTCAAAATATCAACATGAGCAAATCTGGAGGAAGTTGGTTCCTACCCTCATAGATGACTGAGAGGTTCAAGACTTCACTGGAGAAAGTAACTGCAAATGTGGTAGGAAAAGTAACTAGAATTAGAAGTGGAGCCTGGACCGGGTGCAGTGGCTCACGCCTATAATCCCAGCACTTTGGGAAGCCAAGAAGGCTGGATCACTTGAGCCTAGGAGTTCAACACCAGCCTAGGCAACATAGCAAAACCCCACCTCTACAAAAAAATAAAAATAAAAAAATTAGCCAGGCGTGATGGCACACACCTGCAGTCCCAGCTATGTGAGAGGCTGAGGTGGGAGGATCACTTGAGCTCAGGACAGATGTTGCAGTGAGCTGTGATCATACCACTGCACTCAAACTTGGGCGACAGAGTGAGACCCTGTTTAGAAAAAAAAAAAAAGTGAAGACTGAAGATGTGGCTGTACTCTCTCACGATCAAACTTAAACAGATGAGGAGCTGCTTCTTATGGATAAGAAAGTTGTTTCTTCAGATAAAATCTATTTCTGGTAAAGATGCTGCGAACACTGTTGAAATGACAACAAAGAATTTAGAATATTATATAAACTTAATAGTTGTTACAGCAGTAGCAGGGTTTGAGAGAAATTACTTCAATGTTGAAAGAAGTTCCACTGTGGGTAAAGTATCATCTATCAAACACATCACATGCTACAGAGGTATGTTTCATGAAAGGAAGTGTCAACTGATGTGGCAAACTTCAGTGTTGTCTTATTTTAAGAAAGTGACAAAGCCATCCCAACCTTCAGCAACCACCACCCTGATCAGTCAGCAGCCATCAACACTGAGGCAAGCCTCTCTACCAGCAAGAAGATTACAACTCATTGAAGGCTTAAATGCTCATCAGCATCTTTTAGCAATCACGTATTTTTTAATGAAGATATGTACTTTTAAAAGACATAATGCTATTGTGCACTTAATAGAATATAGATAGTGTAAAGCTGGGCATGGTGGCTCACCTCTGTAATCCCAGCACTTTAGGAGGCCAAGGCAAGAGGATCTTAAGCCAGGAGTTCAAGACCAGCCTGGGTAACAAAACGAGACCCAATTTCTACAAAAAATCTAAAAATTAGCCAGGCACGGTAGCACACGCCTACAGTCCCAGTCCCCGAGGACTGCTTGAGTCCAGGAGGGCAAGGCTGCAGTGAGCTGTGATTGCACCACTGTACTCCAGCCTGGGCAACAGAGCAAGACCTTGTCTCAAAAAATAAAATAAAATAAAATAGACTACAGTATAGTGAACACATAACTTTCATATGCACTAGGAAATCAAAAAATTGACATGACTTGCTTTATTGCGATATTCGCTTCATTGCAGCAGTCTGGAACAGAACTTACAATATCTCTGAGGTATGCCTGTATGTTTAAAACTAAAATGTATTTAAATTACATAATTATTTCATTGTTTTAAGGGGTGTGGAGAGCCTCTAAGAATAAGTAAGTTTCTTTATATACTTAAATTGAAACAGAAAAGTTCGTTAGCCATCTTGATGATGGTAATCCTCTTAAACTTGGCCAAAATGTTCTTCAATATATCTATAATTAGCCTTTCAAATCAGATATGGTTAATCTTCTCATTCAACCAGTAAGGAGAATGACTAAACATTTATTTTCAACTCAAATAGTTGAAATATTAATCTATAAACATAGAAACAATTGATGTAAAATATATTCCTCATGTGAAATCAGTCAAGAAAAATGTTTGTAATAGATAACTCATTTGTAGAAAACAAGGGTAATATTAATGAATTCAGTTGATGAGTGACTTACATAACTGTTTAAACAATGTAATCAGACCTACCATAGTATAACCAATAGAAAGACTCTTCCTGTCATCTTTATTAGCACAATCTCTGATTATGACTTGATTTTATACTTTGTAATTACCCACATAAATTCACGCTAACACTTCAGCACCATAAATAATATAAAGCAATAATTCTCAAACTTGAGCATGCATCAGAATCACCTTGAGGGCTTGTTAAAACACAACTTGCTAGATCCTACTTTCCAGTTTCTATGTCAGTAGGTTTGGTGTAGATTCTGAGAATTTCTAACAAATTTGTAAGTGATGCTGATGCTGCTGTTCTAGAAACTACATTTTGAGAACTACTGATATAGTAATAAGGACTCTGGAATGAAAAAAAAAAAAAAACTTACTCCTCAGCCTGGGCAACATGGTGAAATCCTGTCTCTACAGAAAAAAAAAACAAAAACAAAACAAAACAAAAAAACCCCTGAAAAATTAGCAGGGCACGGTGGTGTGCACATGTAGTTCCAGCTATTTGGGAGGCTGAGGCGGGAGAATCGCTTGAGCCTGAGAGGTCAAGGCTGCAGTGAGCTGAGATCACTCCACTGCACTCCAGCCTGGATGACAGAGCAAAACCCTGTCTCAAAAAAAAAAAAAAAAGCAACCGTCTCTGGACAGTGGTGGGGTCTGATGGGAAAGTGGCATGACAGAATCTTGTTGAGTATGCATAACGCTCTGAACTCTTGATAGGGGATTAAGTCACACAGGTGTGTCCACATTTATCAAAACTCCATATACACAAGATTTGGGAATTTAATTAATTAATTTATTTATTTGAGACAGAGTCTTGCTCTTGTCGCCCAGTCTGGAGTTCAACGGCACAATCCCTGCTCACTGCAACCTCCATCTCCTGGGTTCAGGTGATTCTTCTACCTCAGCCTCCTGAGTAGCTGGGATTACAGACACACACCACCACGCCCTGCTCATCTTTTTTAGTAGAGACGGGGTTTCGCCATGTTGGCCAGGCTGGTCTCAAACTCCTAACCTCAGGTGATCTGCCTGCCTCGGCCTCCCAAAGTGCTGGGATTACAGGCTTGAGCCACCGCGCCTGGCAGGAATTTTATTTATATGAATTTAACTTCAAAAGAAAAAAAAGCTGTAAACAAATATCGAGCTCTAGTTAATGATACATACATGCTGCAGTATTTAGGGGGAAGTAAACTGAGGTCTGAAATTTAACTTTGAAATGCATCAAAAGTAAGATGAACTAATGGATACAGGGATGGAGAGATGGACAGGTAAGTATTACTATAGTAAAGCATTAATAGGCAGAATCATCTAGGTGAGGATTACACTGGTGATAGCTGTAAAATTCTTTCAACCTTGTTGAATGTTTAAAAGTTTTTGTAATAAAATGTTAGTTACAATCATAATACATATACATGTCTACAGCACTTGAATATGGCATACAGTAGACCCTCTTACCTGCAGGAAGACATTCCAACACCCCAGTGGATGCCTAAAACCATGGATAGTACCAAACCCTACATACACTGTTTTTTCCTATACTATATATACATACATACAATAAAGTTTTAACTTATAAATTAGGTACAGTAAGAGATTTAATAATAAAATAGAACAATTATAACAACATACTGTTTATAATTTCATGGATAGAAGATTCATTCTTACAGTAAATCTTAGCAACCTCAGCATGATTTTTCATCTTTCCTTATTAAGTCAAGAACTTTCCCTTTTCACTTAAAAGGAAGCACTTTACAGCTTTCCTTTGGCATCCCTAATTGTGAGCATAACTACACTTTGGAGCCATATTAAGTAAAATAAAGGTCACGTGAACACAAGTCCTGTGACACCATGCCAGTCCATCTAATAACCAAGTCCGCTACTAAACAACTAATTGGCAGGTAGCATGCACAGCATGGACATGGTGGACAAAGAGATGATTCACATCCTGGTGGGACAAAGTGGGATGGCGAGAGATTTCACCATACTACTCAGAACAGCACACTATTTAAAACATAAATAGTGACAAATTATTTAAAACATAAATATATGACAAATTATTTAAAACATAATTTTAAATAATTATTTATTTAAATAATTATTTATTTAAATAAAATTATTATTTAAAATTATTTAAAACATAATTTGTCATATATTTCTGGAAATTTCTATTTAATGTTTCTGGACCTTGGTTGATCGCAGGTAACTGAAACTTCAGAAATCAAAACCATGGATAACGGAGGACTACTTATTGTTATTTTGTTACAGGAACCAGAAGATCAAAGTAATATGACCAACTAAGAGTAAGACTGGTTTTCGAACCACTGCATTCATCTAAAATTAACTACCGTTTGCCCAAATATAGACAGCAAGAGGGGCCTTTACTTGATGAAGAGAGATAATTAAAATATTCTCCACTGACAAGACAGCCCTACATTTCAGGTTCCCCAGGAGTAGTCCTGGTTTATGCCTGTTGTCCCAACTGCACTCCAGTTTAGAAAACAAATTGTATGTTCACCATGCTCATGGATTTCCCAATTTTCCAAAGGCTTCATTTATATTTGAAGAATTTCATTTTTCACTCTTTTATAGTATCGTTTACATAACCAAAGTATTTCTTAAGATTTACTAATGAATGGTAAAACTGGAGTACTCACGGGTAGCCAAGGAAAAGGAGATTGAGGACTGAATGGCTTCGAAAGAGATTGACGAGGGTCCAACAAAGTACCCATCCACACAAAGTGAGTAGTACCAAGCGAGCTGATATCAGAACCATGTAGTGAATCATTGATGCTGCACCTGCCTTAGTAGCCTGAAAGTTTGGAAGAACCAAAAGGAACATTTTATAAATGATCTTCTTCAAAAGTAGTGTGATTCAAGTAAGAACTTAATAGGTTCAGTGGAAGCTAAAATGTGTCTTTAAAAAATGAAATAAAAGAAAAACTGCTCCATCCCACCTTATCTTCATAATAACTGAAAATTCAGACTTCTCCAGGCACAGCTGTTTCCTTCTTGCACCTGATAGTGCCATCTACAGACCTCTTTTAAGGTCTTATTATATCATCTAATTTGTTTACATTGAAGCTTCTCAAAGTATGTTCCACGAATCGTTTATTTTGTTCCATCAGAATGACCTGGGCTACTAATTGGACATGTAAACTCCTAACAACTTCCCTCTCCAGGGATAAGGAATAAAGTCAAGCAACCTATATTTTAACAACTTAACCAGTGATTTATTTATGTATTTATTTATTTATTTTTTAATTTTTTTTTTTTTGTGACGAAGTCTCGCTCTGTTGCCGTCGCCCAGGCTGGAGTGCGGTGGCTCAATCTTGGCTCACTGCAACCTCCGCCTCCCGGGTTTAAGCGATTCTCCTACCTCAGCCTCTTGAGTAGCTGGGATTACAGGCATGCACCACCATGTCCAGCTAATTTTTGTATTTTTAGTAGAGACAGGGTTTTACCATGTTGACCAGGATTGGCTTGAACTCCTGACCTTATGATCCATCCACCTCCCAAAGTGCTGGGATTACAGGCGTAAGCGACTGTGCCCAGCCTGATTTTTTATGTACATAAACATGGAGAGCCACTAATTTATCTGTCTTACTTCCCACTAAACTAGAAGGGCCTCAACAGCAGTAACGATATTTTTATTTTTCTTTGAATCCTCACCTCTAATCTGCTTGGTGAATCAATGTTTAATAAATGAGTGAAGTTTCAAAAAATAATCTAATTTTCTCTGACAGATCCCTATATAAATAAGTTTCTTTTTTAACTTTTGCAAACATGGAAATAATGCATAATCACTTCCAATTCTTTTTATCACAGCTATTCAAATATGCTTCTTCAATTGCAAATCTTTAAAACCGACTAACTATAGTAAGTACTTGTCATAACTTACTCTGCAATGCCATTTTCTTTCCAAATTAACTAGGGAGAAGAGAATGAGCAAAATGTAGGGGAAAATGGAGGATCCCCATAACCTCTAAGAGAGCAGTGTTGGAAACCAGAAAGGAGAAAAAAAAATATCTAGAGTCAACAGTACATGGTAGGGGATAGGAGCTTTTCAGTTTCCTCCTACATATCCGTTTCTTAGTTTACAGATCATATTATGGAGTACCTATAACATATATGCAATATAGTACACTGAATACCATATATATAGAGAGAGCATATATATGTAATATATAGTTACTTTAAAATGCAAAAAAGCAGTTAAATAAATGCCATAATGAACGGCTTAAGCCTCAAACTATGGCTCAAGCTGTTCTCAGCCATAGCCTGGCACATAGCTTCACATAACTCCCCTGATACATACCTTCATGCCAATTTACCTCACAAATCAAAGCTTAGTAAAGTTACTTAAGCTATTGGAGTTACTCCATTACCTCCTTTTCAAAAGTTCAGGGTTAGAAATAAAAAACACTGCTTCTGCCCAATGTCACCAGAGCACAGAGCTTGGATTTGTTGATTAATTTTGCCTTATTCCAGAGCCCAAGCTGCTAATCACTGTGCTATATGTGACAGACCCTTTACTGGGTCCTAGAGGCACAGTGGTAACCAAGACAAACAAAACCCCTGTGTTGATGAAGCTGACTAACCAAGAAAAACAAATATTAAACTTATATCTAATCATTTTTATAATTGTAATGAGTGCTATAGGAAGAGTAGGCTGCTATGGAAAGTAAACAACAGGAGATCCTATTCTAGAGATAGCTTGTGTTAGTAAATGATATTTAAGCTGAGACCTAAAGGATAAGCAAGAGTTCGCTAGGTGAAGGGCAGAAAAATATTCGTAACATTATGTTAATTTTAAAGTACAGGATATGAAACTGTATACAAATAATTCTCAAATATATTAAAATAAATGTAAATATAAAATCTTCATATGCATACGAAGATCAGGAGAAAATACAGCAAAATGCAGTCTTTGGCCAGGTGAGGTGGCTCACACCTGTAAACCCAGCACTTTGGGAGGCAGAGGCAGGTGGATCACCTGAGGTCAGGAATTTGAGACCAGCTGGGCCAACATGGTGAAACCCGGTCTCTATTAAAAATACAAAAATTATCTGGGCATGGTGGTGGGCGCCTGTAATCTCAGCTACTTGGGAGGCTGAGGCAGGAGAATCACTTGAACCCAGGAAGCAGAGGTTGCAGTGAGTCAAGATCATGCCATTTACAGCCTGGGCAACAAGAGCAAAACTCCGTCTGCCCTCCATCCCGCAAAAAAAGTGGTCTTCAATAATGAGACTGTGAGCAATTTTTAAATGTCCTGCTTTATATTTTAGTGTTTTCCAAATTTTTTTCAATAAAATATACTACTTTCCTATTTAGAAAAACAATTTTTAAAAAGAAAGTTGCTTCAGGTTGGTAAAAGAACAGCTAAATTTATTTCTAATCTTGTGAAGCAAGGACGTAAGTAGAGTTAGCCTGGAGGTGAACAGGCAGAGCTGGCCTGGAGGTGAATAAACAGACTCTACCTACATGGAGAGGTAGTCCTCTCTGAATAGCATTTCCGTTTATGAATTAATTACCAGTAGCCTCTCCTTTAATATTATTGATCTTTCTCAGGGTAGGGACCCTTTCTGTGATATATGCAAACAAAGGAGGAAAACATATTTTAATGGAAGGAAGGAAAGATGATTTATGATAGGTTTTATCCATCTAATTTAGATACTTTAGGAAGAAAATCACTATACAGCTCTTATTTTAAATTTTTGAATAGGTAATACATTCACATCACTCAAAACACAAAACATGTAACAGTGCTTGTAGTGAAAAGCTTCCCACCTGCTGATCCTGTCTCCTAGCCACCAACTGTGCAACTGTTATTAGTTTGTGTGTCCTTCTGGAAACAATTTATTCATATATAAGCAAATATATTTTGTTCCCTCCTCCTAATTTATTTTTTTTTTTTTTGAGATGGAGTCTTGCTCTGTTGCCCAGGCTGGAGTGCAGTGGCACGATCTCGGCTCACTTCAAGCTGCGCCTCCCGGGTTTATGCCATTCTCCTGCCTCAGCCTCTTGAGTAGCTGGGACTACAGGCGCCCGCCACCACACACGGCTAATTTTTTGTATTTTTAGTTTAACCGTGTTAGCCAGGATGGTCTCGATCTCCTGACCTCGTGATCCGCCCGCCTCGGCCTCCCAAAGTGCTGGGATTACGGGGGCGTAAGCCACCATGCCTGGCCACTCCTGTCTCATTTTAAACACTGTTCTGCACCTTGCTTTTTTCACTTAACACCCTGGAGGTCAATACATAAACACATCTTTATGTTTTCAATGGCTGTATGCTATTCCATTATGTAGATGTACCAAAATTATTTAAACATTTCCTTCCTGATGAAAATTAAGTTACAGAATTAAAACTTTGATAAAACTATGTTTAGATTTAGCTTAAGTATTCTGTTCCCATTAAAAACTGCAAGCCTTGGCCAGGCGTGGTGGCTCACGCCTGTAATACCAGCACTTTGGGAGGCCAAGGTGGGTGGATCATTTCAGATCAGAAGTTCGAGACCAGCCTGGCCAACATAGTGAAACCCTGTCTCTACTGAAAACACAAAAATTAGCTGGGTATGGTGGTGGGTGCCTGTAATCCCAGCTACTCAGGAGGGAGACTGAGGCAGGAGAACCACCTGAGCCTGGGAAGCAGAGGTTGCATAAGCTGAGATGGCGCCACTGCGCTCCCACTTCAACATGGGTGACAGAGCGAGTCTCCATCTCAAAAAAAAAAAAAAAAAAAAATTGCAAGCCTATTCCAAGTAAGGCTATGCAAAAGCTGCTATACTACTTTTAGGCCATTCAAGTTATAATCTTTGCAGCAACAAGGTAGAAACCCCAGTTTTGAAGGGTTACACACGAACTGGGCATACTAACTGGACAGGTACAAGCAGCCATTTCCAAGTAACTGAAGGGATGAAACAGAATCATTTCCTATTTTAACAAATGAAAACATAAAATTCCATTGAGATCCTCTAAAGAAAGAACACGCTTTCTCAATATACTAAAAAGTGAGTTTCTATTTTCATCCTCTAAATAAAAACTCTGAAAGAAAAGATTATAAACAGACGTTCCTACTGTGAAAAACAAGCAATCCTACTACCCGTGCTTTTTGGTTAACTTCAAATGGTTTTCAGATCTTGGCTTAGTATTTCCAATTACTCTGCTTCCAGAAATAGGGCTCCTGAAAATCAGAGCTTACACACACAGACTTTCCACATATGTTTTGGGAAAAACAAGTTGACTCTCAATTATTTGTGATTATAGTAACTATTCATTTAAAATTTCACACTGAATTATAAATTCCAAGATTAAAATCATTAGCCACTTCAGCTAAATTAACATTTTTTGTTTTTGTAATCACAGGGCACAAGATAACAATATTTTAAGAAAGCACATTTCCCTGCCTCATTGGGATTTACAAATATATGAAAAATGAGGCTAGGCGCGGTGGCTCATGCCTATAATCCCAGCACTTTGGGAGGCTGAGGCAGGTGGATCACCTGAGGTCGGAAGTTCGAGACCAGCCTGACCAACATGGAGAAACTCCATCTCCACTAAAAATACAAAATTAGCCAGGCGTGCTGGTGCATGCCTGTAATCCCAGCTACTTGGGAGGCTGAGGCAGGAGAATCGCTTGTACCCAGGAAACAGAGGTTGTGGTGAGCCGAGATTGTGCCACTGCACTCCTGCCTTGGCAGTAAGAGCGAAACTCCATCTCAAAAGAAAAGAAAAGAAAAATGATACCAATGGCTAGCTCTGTCAACAACTTTTAATTTTTTTTTTTTTTTTTTGAGACAGAGTCTCGCTCTGTCGCCCAGGCTGGAGTGCAGTGGCTGGATCTCAGCTCACTGCAAGCTCCGCCTCCCGGGTTTACGCCATTCTCCTGCCTCAGCCTCCCGAGTAGCTGGGACTACAGGCACCCGCCACCTTGCCCAGCTAGTTTTTTGTATTTTTTTTTTTTAGTAGAGACGGGGTTTCACCGTTTTAGCCAGGATGATCTCGATCTCCTGACCTCGTGATCCGCCCGTCTCGGCCTCCCAAAGTGCTGGGATTACAGGCTTGAGCCACCGCGCCCGGCTAACAACTTTTAATTTTAAAAAGGATCATTTAATATTCTTATTCTTTGTCATTCTGCTCACTAAACTTAGATTCTAATCTTCAGATTAATCCTATACAAATTCTGATAAGTCACTGCTTTTTAAAAATTCTAAGAAACTCAAATAAATGTTTCTTGCTAACAATCTTCTCAAATGGTATATATAAACAGTATCAAGTGAATATTATCTGGAACTGAATGTTTTAGGTACAACTGTATGTGTACAGATAATACTTCATATTAATAGTTACCTGACATTCATCCTATTTTTACTGAAACTATTTAAATTTTTTAAATTGTACTGAAAAACTCAGAAACAGAACACAAGCTCCGACCCTACAAATGAATTTTCTAACAGTTTTTGACACTTGAATTTTAAAAAATTACATTGCAGGGAAACCTTTTTTAAAGTACTGGCAGAACTCACATGGGAGTAAAGCAATTTACTGTTTTATTAAATTGGGACTGGTCACATTTTCAACCTGCACCCATTCTAGTAACTAACTCTAGCTACATGTGATAGAATATAGTGAATGAACTGTTACCTCTGAGATGAGAGCCCATACAAGCCTCCTCGCAAGCATCACTGTGATGAATGCTGCCAGATGATAATCAATGAGATGAAAATTCTACAACAGAAATAAATAACTAAATAACTACATCAGAAAGAAATATGATGTGTATTCAGCTGGCACTACTACAAGAATAGAGGTTTATCCCTGAAAAGATCTTCCTTAGATCACCACACCCTTACAGATTATGGGAATATGAGAGATCTTGAACAGACTATGTACCTTCTACTTCTCCTTTCACAACAAATTGCTTTAAGTTTTTAAACACTATTTTAAACTACCTGGAATGTATTCTTCTCCCTTTTCAAAAGTATTACTGTACTAAAAGGTAAAGATTGCAGCTTTGAGTTAACAAGTTATAACCTGCAGAATTATGGCAAGAATAATTTATATAAAATATTATATTTATAATGTCTTAAAGTTAATAGATCAGTTGGGATTCACAGTCTTCAGAAGTTTCTGTTGTTGGTCTCTTATGCAAGCTTACGTTAATCTAATTGGGCGTCTACTAAACTCTCTAGTAGATGGTACATCAATTATACTCATTTAGTGTTTCTCTCTAGTTTGATTTAGAAGTAGGCCTTACATTTGGTCTCTTCTATAAAATAATAGCATTTACCTAGATGCTGTCTACAGTTCCTTCTAGGTCTAGATCTGTATATATAACTGTGGTAATAAGCAAATGAAAAGTCTTTAGCAACAATATCCCAGGAACCACCAAAATCAGGATGTATTTTCATTTTGATGATCAAAAGGTCTATAGGTTTCCACAATTCCTTCCAGAATGAAATGTTAAATTTCTCAATTACTTAATTTAATAAATCTATACATAGCATCCACAATGTGCCAGGTACTCTCCTTCACACTAAAGATACAGCGTGGAAGATGACAGCCAAGGTTCCTGCTCTCCTGTCTTACTTTCCACTGTGGTGCTAGAGGGAAAGGAAATGGCAGAGATTACTATTCATTCCTTCTGCATCACCATAAAATTTAACTAGGCACTGACTCCTAGCCAACTAAAGGTTTATTTTCCAGCCTCCCTTGCAAAAACTACTTTTAGCCAAGGGATGAGTGAAAAAGTAATAGGCACAACTTCTAAGCCATACTCTTCTAAAAGGAGCTGTCCCCTTTTCTCTTTTCTTTCTCCTTCCTGCTGGTCAGGTATGATAACTGGAGTTGGAGTAACTACCATGGACCATGGTTTGGAAGAAGTATATTGGGGATGGAAGAGCAATATATACAAAGAGTTGCCATGCTGATGTTATATCATCCACCTAAACTTTTATTAAATAGGGAAATAAGTTTCTATTTTGTTTTAGTCACCCTGTTATGGCAGCTAAACCCATATCTTCAATAAATTTGTTTGGAGAAGCAGGGCAAGTAATGACAATAAACAAGCTCCCAACAAAAGCATTTTAAATAGTTAAAACTGCTTGTAAGAAATATAACAGGAACAAATAATGACTAAGAAGGAGGTGCAGAGCCCATTTAAATTGGTGGTTAGGGAGGCTATCCCTGAGAGGATGGCATTTGGGCTGAGAGCTGAATGACAAAAAGGCACCCGGCATTTCAAGCTCTGGGAACAAAGGGCCCCAGACAGAAGAAAAAGCAATCACAAAAGCCCTAAGACAGGAATATATATGCCCAGTGTGTCTAAAAGGCAGCAAGAAGGCTGGAGTAAGATAATTATTATAGTGGGGCAAGATAGTTAAGAAGCTCTTGCTTTTAATTCAAGTGAAAAATGATCACAGACTGAACAGGGTGAGTAGCAATGGAGATGGAATGAAGTGGCCAAATTAAGTATACATTTTAGAGACAGAACAGCCAGAATGTCAACAGAGTGGTTTGCCACTCCTTAGATCATTTCCTTTTCTCCCTAAGTATTATGGATTCTAACAGTATTTATCCCCTCCTATTTTTGGGACTTCTCCCTACTCACCCTATTCCTCCAAAATAATGCACGCAGATTCACTCAACCCCTGGCTAATGTCTGGGTCTTATTAATGCATCACCAGTCCATCTAAGACATTTTTAAAAATCAAAACATTGGCCAGGTGCAGTGACTCACGCCTGTAATTCCAGCAATCTGGGAGGCCAAGGTGGGCGGATCATGAGGTCAGGAGATCAAGACCATCCTGGCCAACATGGTGAAACCCTGCCTCTACTAAAAATACAAAAATTAGCTGGGCATGGTGGCGCATGCCTGTAATCGTAGCTACTTGGGAGGCTGAGGCAGGAGAATTGCTGAACCAGGGAGTTGGAGGTTGCAGTGAGCAGAAGTCGTACCACTGCACTCCAGCCTGGTGACAGAGTGAAACTCCATCTCAAAAAAAAAAATCAAAATATTTAAGTGCCTAATACATCTTTTTGTTAAGCAAATCATGTTATAACCAAATCAATGAACATGGTAATGTGGTTATGATTAACTCTTTGTAACCCAGAATATTTGATTAATCAGAGCCTATTCCTATTCTGAATAATTTACTACTTCTAGCTTTTATGTTTCTTAGGGTTAAGACTCATTCAGTTAATTGGTTGACAGCTAGAATACTTCACATATTCAGGTGTCCACATTTTCTTTTTGATATTAAGATCTTGGAATGGAAAAATAAAAACCTAATATATAAATCTGACAAATTTATTATGAGTGTCTGACCCAGACACTCATAATAGAACAAAACTTAAAAGACAGACCACATATTTGGGACAGAAGTCCTTGCTAGAGCCTCCTGGTCAGGTAAGCACCTTCCACGCTTCAATACCTTCAGTGATGGGAAATAACTTGATCTCCAGCAGTCCATTCTATCTTTGAACAACTCACTGATACAGGCTCCTTTGAGATTCACAGGCTAAACTCATATTTGCTATTTCACATGTTACTCTTGGCTTCACAACCCAATTTTAAGCTTTGTGTTAGCAAAGATTATGTGCATCAGATAAGTGAGCCAATCTACTCTACAACCTCCGTTAAGTGTGCGTTCCTCTATTGCAGAGGCTGGAAAGCTAAAAATGACATTTCCAAACTTTCTTGCACTCAGACTCTAGATATGATTTCGGTTCTGTCAACCACAGGCATCATATAAAACTTGAATTCAGAAGTGAGTGAAGTTAGGGGAAAAGGTAGCAAAAGGCATCCATTTTTGGTGGTAAGGGTCAAAGGAAAGGAAGCATTAATTCTGGAGTCAGCAGCTGTAGCAGCAGGTTCCTGATTATGACAAGAACACTGGCTCCCTCTGTTTCAAGGCAGTATTTGTAGGTAACTTTCTAAAGAGCTATAGTCAGATATGTTAGACTGGGCAAAGAACTCTTTGATGACACTGAAAATTCAACACATGAGAAGTTTCCAGGGGAATGTCAAACCAAATAGAAATTTTATAATGAACTACCCAAGAAGAACTTACGGAATAAATATAGGACTAAAACAAGAAGTAAAGCACAGTAGATTGGTCTGGACTTGGGCACTCACTATGCCACTATGTGATTTTTGAACCAGTTTATAGGTCTTACATTCATTTATAAAATGGGAGTCATATAATGGTACCTACTCATTTTTATAAAGAGTAAATGAGATAATACTTGTAAAGAATTTACTAAATATTGGCCAGGCACAGTGGCTCACACCTGTAATCCCAGCACTTTGGGAGGATAAGGCGGGCGGATCACGAGGTCAGGAGCCATCCTGGCTAACACTGTGAAACCCCGTCTCTATTAAAAATACAAAAAAAAAAAAAAGGTAGCCGGGCATGAGGGCAGGCGCCTGTAGTCTCAGCTACTCGGCAGGCTGAGGCAGGAGAATGGTATAAACCTGGGAGGCGGAGCTTGCAGTGAGCTGAGACTGCACCACTGCACTCCAACCTGGGCGACAGAGCGCAAGACTCCATCTCAAAAAAAAAAAAAAAAAGAAGAATCTACTAAATATTTTAATGTGTGTTTGTTACTGACACTGTTAAGACAATGAGTATTTATTTATATAACTATATACCTGGAAAAGGCCTTAAAGAATATCTAATCCAACTTCTTCTCTTTAAAACACCATGGCCAAAAAGGATGAACGAAGTACAGTTCCTACACTCAATAAGCTCATAATCCGGGTAAGAAAGAAAGACTATTAAAAAAAAATTGGCACTAAATCATTGCAATTTTCCAATACAGAAACTGACATTCTTATCACATGATATTAAGTAGACAGAAGGTCAATACAGCAAGAAAATTCTTAATAGTTAATACCAGGAACAACCAAATGATACAAATATTTAAAACAAAAATTTTTATTCTCTTTCCATACTATCTTAAGGATTTTGGCCCACATTTCCTTTCTATGTTCACCAGGCTAGGAAGGCTTTCTAATCTTTATTAGTCCCAAACACATATATAAGAAGACAATAGTCTTCTTTTGCCTAGAGCATCTCTCTATCACCCATTCAAATCTGCCATTGCCAACAACCTATCCGTCAAGTCATCTGACTAGCCTTAACAATACATATACTTACATTTTTAAATTTCATTTTTTTTTCTTTTTTCTTTTTTTTTTTTTTTGAGACAGGGTCTTATTCTGTCACCCAAGCTGGAGTATGGTGGCCACAATCGTAGCTTACTGCAGTCAGTATCTCCCAGGCTCAGGCAATCCTCTCACTTCAGCTTCCCCAGAAGCCAGGACCACAAGTGTGCACTACCAAGCCCAGCTAATTTTGTTTATTTTTTGTAGAGACAAAGTCTCACTATGTCGCCTAGGCTGGTCTCAAATTCCTAGGCTCAAGCAATCCTCCCGCCTTCGCCTCCCAAAGTGCTGGGATTATAGGCATGAGCCACCATGCCCAGGCCTTACCAATATTTTTTTATATATCCATCTATGGTGAACCTTCTCTGCATCAAGACTATCACGGTATTTTTTTTTTTTGAGACGGAGTCTCGCTTTGTTGCCCAGGCTGGAGTGCAATGGCTCGGTCTCGGCTCACTGCAAGCTCCGCCTCCCAGGTTCACGCCATTCTCCTGCCTCAGCCTCCCGAGTAGCTGGGACTATAGGCACCCGCCACCATGCCCGGTTAATTTTTTGTATTTTTAGTGGAGACGGGGTTGCACCGTGTTAGCCAGGTCTTGATCTCCTGACCTCGTGATCTGCCTGCCTCGGCCTACCAAAGTGCTGGGATTACAGGTGTGAGCCACCGCGCCTGGCCTATCATGGTACTCTTAATAAATGGAAAGAGAACAGAAGAAATCTACAATACATTTTTATGTACCTCACCAAAGACAGCCAATTTCTCAACTTCACTTGTGTGACAGAACCCAATTTTATTTAAGTTCACTATGTACCCAGCTAAAGGACTATATTTAGCTTCTCTTGTAGTTAGGAGTGGACATGTGTGGAAATGATGCAAGCCTGGCCCATAAGAAACTCTCCTTTATATTGCCCTAAGCTCTTTCCCCTTCTGGCTGACAGGGATGGGTCACAACCACCTTAGAGGTCACATGGTGGAAGACAATAGAATCTCCATCAGCTTGGGTCCCCTGATTGATCACATGGAAGAACTCCTGGCAACCAGGACAACTGCCTCAGAGTTTATTTGTTACAGAAGCTACCATTATCCTAATTCAGCCATTAAAAGGGTAGAGTTGTTAGAATGTAGTAACACTGACACCTTATACTTACAAATTTAAAATGGTGCAGAGAAAACTAAATACCAAAACCTTTCTGTGATATAATAAATTATTTAAATGTTTTCTGCATTTTCATTTACATTTTTACTTCCCCTGATAGTACTTATATTTTAACAATCTTATGAAATTTTATTTCTGAAAGTAATCTGTGGTCTAGAAAAAAATATTTTATTGAAAGAAAAATTACTAAGAAAAACAATTTCTACAGAAAGCTTTCCAGGTAGTTTCTTGGGTAACTAACATAAAGAACTTAAAGGCTGAGTAAGACTTACCAGTGATGTACAAGAAGCAGGATGATTGTAAGGATACCACCACACTGTTTTATAAATGTTGATGTACTGAATGAAAAGAGCAACCAACAGGTAGATGAAAAAAAGGAATTCAAAGAGTAGGCTCCCATCCACAGGCAAGTCAGGAATTTGGCAATGACGAACAGGACCTGGGGTGATTAAGGCTGTGATAGGTGGGACTGGAAGGCCAATAGCACTACCATTCCTGAAAGAGAAAACTATGGTTAACTCAATGGTCATAACCTCCACTGTCACAGAACATAAAGGGCTCCTGCTGTCTCCTCCATCTATCCCTTCACTGTTGGCTTTCCCCGCAAGACTCCTTCTTGGGATCCTCTTACCTTCTCCCTTCACACATTGTCAGTGATCTAAGATGCAGCTATGGCCTCCATTATTTCCTACATGATGAAGACTGTAATTTCTCACCATAGAGCTCACTGCTAAATTACAGACACATTATTCAAATCTTTACTGGACATCTCTGTGTTCTTCCCTCTTATAGTCCTGACCTTAGTTCATGGCCCACTCAAGTTAGCTACCCACATCAGAAACCTGGGAGTCATATTAAAACTTCTCTTGGCCGGGCACGGTGGCTCACGCCTGTAATCCCAGCACTTTCAGAGGCCGAGGCGGGCGGAACACCTGAGGTCACGAGTTCAAGACCAGCCTGACCAACATGGCGAAACCTTGTCTCTACTAAAAATACAAAAATTAGCCAGGCACGGTGGTGGACACCTGTAATTACAGCTACTTGGGAGGCTGAGGCAGGAGAATTGCTTGAACCTGGGAGGCGGAGGTTGCAGTGAGCTGAGAACGCACCACTGTACTCCATTCTGGGTGACAGAGCGAGACTCCATCTCAAAAAAAAAACAAAAAAAACCAACAAAAACAAAAAAAAACTTTTCTTCTGCCTCTCGATGTCCAATCACTCTCTAAATCTCCTAGATTCAACTTTATAAAACTTTGTCCAAACTGTACCTTCCTCTTTAATCTCATTTGCTTTAGTTCAAGCATTTACTATTTTCACCTAAACTATTGCAGTAATCCTCCTATACTCAATTCCACTTTCACCAAACTCTCCAACCTGTTTTCAGGGATCTTTCTAAGGTAAAACTCTTAATAGTGTTACTCTTACCTAAAAACATTTAATGGCTCTCTACTAATAGTGGGGTAATAGCCAAAAATTTTTAGTAGCCCTATGAGGTCCCTCAGCTTAACAGACTAGTTTCACCTCATCACTCCTTCACATGTACCCTATATGATACTTATGCTATTTGCTTTCTGGAACATATATGCTCTTCTTTTGCGTATGTTATTCCCTTTAAATGTACTAATCACCTTCCATAATCACCTTCCTTAACTTCTCACATACATATTTACTGACAAAATCCTTCAAAACTTTTTTTACTCCTTCTTCAAGATTTTTAAGCCACTCAAACACATTCTCTGTGAAGCTTATTCTACTCCATCAAAACTGATTCATCTCTCCTCTGTGCCACCATAATACTTAACTATACCTTTATTACTATACTTTTCACATTGTTACATAATTTTTTGTATACATCTATGTGTTGTCTACCAGATCATAATCTTAAGAACAGAGACTATACTCTTCTTAGTTCACTGCAAATATGTATCTTTAGGTTGAGAAGGCAGTAGACCAATATAGTTATGAAAAAGAGATATCCCTTAAAACACAAAAAGATGCAGATATTTTAATCCCTATCTTCTTATTGTTCTTTCTTCCACGCTCTTTTACAGATTAGAAATAACCAGGCTATCTAAAGGTATAAGACGGAAGTAGGAGAAAAGTTTCCTTTGTTTATATGCCTGGGAATACTTACAGAGATCTAAGGGTCTACTGTTATTTACAGACCAAAGAAAAGAAGCTTAGCTTAGATACTTCCAAAGAAGATTTGAGAGAAGGAACAAAACTAGCGTTACCATTCTACTCTAAAATTTCCAAATATAGAAATTGGTATGTAGCACTTACAGTACTTTAAGTGACTCATGGGAATATGAACTCTGCTCATTCTGAACAGTTAAGAATACTATGGCAGAAACTCAGAAGACCTAGAAGGGAAGAACAGGAACTGGTGGAGGAGGGTATGGAAAAAATTTTAAGTTTCTTCTTCTCATTCCCAGAGTATACTCCAATAGAACAAGCCTACCAAGTAATACATTGTGAACCACCAGTAGGTCTCAGAACCATACCTGCTCAATCACAAACCAGTCTTTGAGGTGGGCCACAGCACTGTAAAAACTCCAGAAGGCACCATTCCACAAAACACAACACGAAAGGCAGCCTCTGAAGTTTACAAGTTGGTAGACTTGCATGAAGAGGATTACAACAAGAAGCCAATCTACTCCCTCACTCCAGTTGATTTATGAAATTAAAAACTCTGATGAGAAGTTACAAGGTTACAAGCCTCTACTCCAGACAAACTAAAAATTCTTATTTCCCTTCAGTCAAAAATACGCTAAGGGGGAACACATGCTAAATTACTTGTTATGACTTAATGGTTAAAAGGTTCTTACAGAATTTTTCCCAAGTGAAGCAGACAAACGTGTTTTTACCATTAACAAAGTCAATAAAATGCTAGGCCTCAAAAAAGATATTCAAAACAAAGTAGAAAAGACCTACACTTGTCATACTCTATACAGCCTTGACTATTAAACGTCAAACCAGAAAACAGAGAGACCAAAGTCACATAAAACGAGATCTGGCTGGGTGCAGTGGCTCATGCCTGTAATCCCAGCACTTTGGGAGGCTGAGGCAGGCGGATCACGAGGTCAGGAGTTTGAGACCAGCCTGGCCAACATGGTGAAACCTGTCTCTACTAAAAATACAAAATTAGCTGGGTGTGGTGGCATGTGCCTGTAATCCTAGCTACTCGGGAGGCTAAGGCACGAGAATTGCCTGAACCAAGGAGGCAGACATGGCAATGAGCCGAGATTGTGCCACTGCACTCCAGCCTGGTGACAGAACAAGACTCTGTCTCAAAAATAAAGAAATAAAAATAAATAAATAAAATAAACGAGATCTAGAGATCTGGAGCATCAGTGGAAAAAAAATACTCCTATATAAATAAAAAAGAATCTATGAGATTATGTCTTCTCTATCTGATCTATAAAGTTGAAAACTTGAGAAGAGATATGATCATTTTTAAAACTAAAATTAACAGATTTAGTCAATATATCTCAGAAAATCAGTCACAGAGGTATTATTTAGGAACAAATTTAAGTGTTATTCCTCTAATAGAATATTAAAAATAGGGCTGGGCGCAGTGGCTCACACCTGTAATCCCAGCACTTCGGGAGGCCGAAGCGGGTGGATCAAAATTAGTCGGGTATGGTGGCTCATGTCTGTAATCCCAGCTACTCGGGAGGCTGAGGCAGAATCGCTTGAACCCAGGAGGCGGAGGTTGCAGTGAGCCAAGATAGCACCATTGCACTCCAGCCTGGGCAACAAGAGCAAAACTCCATCTCAAAAACAAAACAAAACAAAAATACATATATATATATATATATAAACAGATTTAAGAATCTGTTCAGAACCCATATAAATTCTCTAGCAATGAGTTGTGACAACACATGTGAAGTGCTATTCAACCAGGAAAGCTCATTAGAGACTTGATGTCCAGGGTTTTTATTGGGGGCTGGCCACATGGGCACCTTCTTCCTCGCAGTACCAAAATTCTAGACTTCCAAAAGGAAAGCAGGTGTTCAGCATAGCTACTCTTAGGAAGGCCTGCTTACAAGGCTTACATCTGGGAACCATGACTAGTAAACAGTTCCCTACAGTGAGATAAACTTTCCCTAAATAACAAGAATGGCTCACTGTGCCTAAACTGTTTATATAAACAATGTGGTTTATGCTAAACACCTGTGTTTTGTCCTTGCATATAAAGTTTGTGTGTGGGAAAAGGTTAACACAGCAGGCCTGAGACTGATTGTTATGGAGTGAGCAAGCGGCACAATTTAGGGAAGCAAATGGATGAAGGAAGAAAGATTCAAAGGCCTAAAGAGGAATAGAAGAGATAGGGAAAGCAGTGGTCATTTGGACATGTTCAGGTGATATTATTAACAAAGTATATATAAGCAAAGGAAAAAACAGTTCTTCTCAAATAAGATTCTTCCTCAATCAGGAGCTCTCTAAGAAATCCAGAAATACACAATATATCTTCCCTTTTTAAAAGGATAATACTCTATAACACACTGTTGCAAGAACAAATCCCTGCTCCCTAAAGGTGGAAAGCAGGACAAGGAACTACAATTTCAATCTTGACTGTGTTACCAATCTAGCTCCTTGACATTCTAGAGTTTAACTTCACCAATCAGACCACAACCACCTACCAAACAGGGGCAAATGCTCTCCTCTCCAGTTGACCTATGTCGGTCTTGCAGAATCAAATGTATCATCCAAAAGTATATAATACTTAAGCAATTATCTATTTCCCTCCAATACTCTACAGACACTCCAGAAATGAGTTCTCCTCATCTGGACATTCCTTCTTTCTATATATCCTTCCTAAAACTATATTATAAGCTATCTGCTGGTTCTTTCATGCTTTTATACCTCCTCCCCAGGTCTTTTATAACAAATTATTCCAGCTGCTTGCTTCCTACCAAGAAACAAATATAAAGCTTTCTTTTTCCCAATTTCTCTAGGTAAACATGTCACAAAATAATCACTCAATAATAATAATCTTGGTAACTTTTCAAACCATAAACAATTATTTCTTTCATTTTAAAATGTTGAAAATACTTTCTTCTACCCACTCTCTCCCTCTCCACAAGTTAATTGCTAAATAAACATATGTTAAAGGAGAAGAGAAAGGCAGATTAAAGCAACCACGGTTGGAACCTCTAATACCAGGATAGAAGAGCTACAGTGAAGGCAGAGAAAAGAATACCAAACCCAGTCAAGAGCACAGGTATTTTCCAAATGTTCCTACTTCTTCCCAGTAAATCATGTGCAGACTCCAAGTGCAAGCAGAAGCATCTACAAATGACATTTTCATTGGCTTTCAGTTCTTTTTAATAGCAGAACACTTTATTTTCCTTTCCCCATAATATTTTACATAGTATCTTAATATTTAAAACACATAGGAAAATAAGTCAGTCTAATTAAGAGAAGACTAGGAAACCTCAAGCCTAGACTATTAGGCCTGCCTGATCCATTTTCCCTTCTAAGCCCTCCTACAGCAACACCTGAGACACTGAAGAGCAATTTCATGGGACAGTTTGAGAACATTTTTAACTGAGAACATAATTATCTAGAGGAATCCTCAAAGCCAAAGTCAAAGAGAATGTACAAAGAACTGCTAGAGTTAATACAGAGGCAAAGTTAGAATTTTTTAGCTAGCTAGAATCCTAGTTAGGAACAGCTAGGATTTTCTATCACAACTTGAAAGTACTGAATCAATAAGTTGATAGTATATATTAATAAAATTAAGGTATGTACCTCAAATAGCAAACAACTTTTATCTCAATACCTATATTAGATAGTACTTTTCTTCAAAAGCATTTTCGCATATTCTTTCTTATTTTTAAACATATAAAATAATACTTAATATATGTAGAAAATTTGTAAAATTCAGTAAAGTTTTTTAAAGTTACTGCAATTTACTACTTCATTTATTTCAACATTCTGCTATGATGCAAACAGTATCACCATTTTTAAAATAAGGAAATCCAACGAACAGCAGAGTAAAAAATACTCTAGCATAAACTAGTTCTATATACATACATAAACAAAACTTGGATTAAAAATTAGTATGAGAATCGGAGACTGGAAAAATCCCTTCAAACTGGAATTTCAGGGAGAGCTCGACTGAAATGATGAGATCAGAACTAATTTTAAAGATTGGAAGAGGGATTGGAAAGTCAGGAAAAAAAAGGGCAAAGGTCAGGCCTAGAAAACAAAAGTGCATTAATGCCATCAGATAGGCCTGAAAACACAGTAGTACTGATTGCTAGCTCTGAAAATTAAAATCAAGGCAAGAGAAAAACTTTTTTCAGGGAGGAAGGAGAAATTAGCTGGCAGAAATTATCTTGAGCAAATACTTGATTAGGTAAAAGCATCTCTTTGCACTGCTACATTATCAAACCTCCTGATGGCATGAGCTACCCCAGCTAATAAACAGCTAACGTTTATTAAGACCAAACAATTTTTTGACAATTTAAAACCCTTGATGGAATCTGACTTATAATTTCAGCTGGGAGTTTTAATTTGCCCTCTAAAAAAAGAATGCTTATAAGTAGATAAACCATCACACTTGCCTTGTATTTTCATTCACTTCTCCCTTCTTCTAATAGATAAAAAGGGGATAACTAGAATTTAGATGATCAGCCAAAAGAAAGAATGGGACTGCTTTCACTTTGTGGGCCCCATATCACATCTTTTTACCTCGAAAGTATTTTGAAATTCTGAATTTTGTCTTCAAAGGCAGGATTTCTACCTCAGTGTCAAGAATTAATCTCAATAAGCAAATATCTGAATGACAAGATGACTTTTATGTTCGTCTTACTGATGATAGGACATTACAAATTAAATATAGCCTTATTTTTTCTTTACCTGTTTCTCAAGCCTGTGCCATTGCCACAGCCACCACCAACCAAAGTCTGCAAAGAAGGTAAAGCTGAACGGCTTAGCTGTTGCCGACTAGGGCCCCTCCTTCCACCGGGCATGTCCAGGAACCAGTCTGCTTCCAGTGCCACCTGTAGTTGCAACCCAGGTTAATGGTTGTCAACCAGTTTCAACTCTGAACGATAACAAAAACATATAAATATCAGTAGACTATTTTTAAAGTAGGCAACAAAACAACGAGAAAAACTGAGTGAGCAGGCCTTACAAAAGATTTTCAAACGAATGTTCCCAGTGTCTACTACCTACATTATTCGAATTAAAGGACCATTCAGACTCTAATGGGTCAAACCCTAAGTTCTGATCTAAGCTCTGTTAAGCTTTAGGCAAGTCATGATTTGTGTCTTTCGTCAATTGATTTGTATCATATGTAAGATACTATAATCAGACAGAAGTTTACAAGAAACATCACACCTTATACATTTCCTGCTCAATGTTTCACAATTAAATTCCTTGAAATATAGAAGAATCGGCATTTTATAAAACGTTAGGTTTTGTTATCAAGGGATATGGGTTGTGAGTTCAGATGGTCACATATTATCTGACCTTATCCGAATAAATTAACTTCTGAGTGTGTTTCTTCACTGTGGGGGAAAAAAAAAGTGTTCCCTGTTCTGTAGAGGTTGTCAGGACTGAGGAAGTGGAATGAAATGGTACCAGTAGTTCTCTTAACTGTTTAAAAGTAAAACTGTTCAAGTGGTATCTCTATATGTTAGGGTTAAAATATTGAAAGTAACTCTTTAAGTGGATGTCCGCTCCAGAAAAGCTGGTGTAAAATCATATAGAAATTACTGAAACTGCAAGATTAAGAGGCAAGTAAAAGATAAAGATCCTCACTGGAGACAAAAAAAAAAAAAAAAAAGTTATTTTCATCATTCTACGGCAAATATCATGATTCTGCCAATACGGATACCAATGTTTCCTAAACAATACCTAAAACCCCAAGGATGACACTGCAAAAACCCTTGTTTTCAAGTGCTCCCTATTCCTAACAGCCTTCGGCTGTAAACTAATCCCAAGTGAAACAAAGCATTCAAACCGCTGGATGCAGGGGCTGCTGGTCCTTGCTCCATTAACGAGCAAAGGGAAAGAAAAGTGCAGGGAAAAACCTGGGACGGAAGAGGTGAGAGTATGGGGTGGGTGGGGTGGGGTGGACCGCAGGAGACCACAAACTTCAACAGACTGGTCCCAAACAGAAGTCCGCAGAGAAGTGGGCAGAGAAGTGGACAAAGCAGTCTCCGCCGCATATCCAAGAGGGCCGAGGCAGGTCCAGGACAGCCGGACCTTGCGGCAGCTCAGTAATACTCACGCATGGAAAAGTCCCAGCCGGTGGGGCGGGATCCCTAGAAAGCGGCGACAACTTTACAGACTGGACCCCACGTAAGGGAACTCCCTCCCCGCGTTGAAACGCTGCAAACCAGCTGCTTGCACGCAGACAGCCCCCGCCTAGAGAATCAAGAAAAGGTGTCCAGGCTTCGGGCTGCAAGACTCAGACCCAGACTCCGAGGCAGTTCCAGTGCCGGAGCTAAAGCTAGAGCCAGAGCCTGGTACCTTCAGCACCCATCCCCAGCCTCCATTACCGCGGAGCTGAGCAGACGTGGCAGCGCACAGCGATGACGTCAGCTACGCGACCGCGGTCCGCCCCAGCCGCGAGTGGGCCCCCGGAACCAGCCGGCACGCTAACCCCTCCCATTTGCACCTGCGCAGTGGGGCTCGCCTGCTCCTCTTGACTCGCGGTCCCGCCCCTTCCGGCCAGTATTGGCCAACGCATTTCCTCCCTTGGCCTCAGTCAGCTAGCGGCTACGACGTGCGGGCACTGTGCTACTGATCCTTCTTGTCTCTTGGACTCCATGTAATAACCATGTACAAGTTATCACCCCCATTTTACAGATGAGTATAGATTAGGAGGTGTCGCCTAGGGTCACGTCATTGCTAAGTGAGGGAGCCTAAGTCATGAAGTCATGCGTCAGCATCCAACCCTGTGCTTATTGTTTGCTAAGAACTAGACAGATGCTGTGGTTACAAAGTCTCAGAGTCTAGTAGAAGAGAGGAGACACCAAGAAAATACAGTAATTACCATTTGTTATAATAAATGCAATATTAAAAGTATGTCCAAGGTCCAGAGATAGCATGCAACACCAATGAATTCTGTTGGATGGTGGTGGTGTCAATACCAAGAAAAGCTTTGCAAAGAGCTTGGGGTTTCAGCCAAGACTCCTCAAAGGCATAGGGGCTTTGTGGGAGAATGGCAGTCCTCCTGGAGAAGTGGCAGATAAAAAGGTAAAGATCTGTGAGCAATGTCACGTTGAGTTCAGGAATTGCCTATAGTTTGGTATTAGAAGAAGAGTAAAAGTGTCAAAAGGAGCATTTGTGTAATCTTTCACTCCAGCGATTTTAAGCTCCTTAATAGAAAGTTGTTTGTATTGACTGCATGATTAACCTTTATTAAGAATTTTGTTGTGTCAGGCACTGGATTAGTAGCTTTACACATTTCATTTAAATCTCACAACATTTTGATAGTTTCTACTATGGTTCCTATTTTACAGAGGAAACTGAAGTTGTTGAAAATAGCCTTCCTGGCCAGGCAGGATGACTCATGACTGCAATTCCAACACCGGGAGGCCAAGGCAGGAGGATCACTTGAGCCCAAGAGTTGGAGACCACCCTGAGCAATATAGTGGGACCTTGTCATTACAAAAAAAGTTAAAAAATCAGTCGGTCATGGTGGCTCATGCCTGTAGTCCCACCTACTTGGGAGGCTGAGGTGGGAGGACCACTTGAGCCCTGGAGGTCAAGTTTGCAGTGAGTTGAGATCGTGCCACTGCACTCCAGCCTGGGCAACAGAGAGAGACCCTGTCTCAAAAATAATAATCAGAAGAAGAATAGAAAAAAAAAATAGCCTGGCTAGTAAGTGCCAGAACCAGAATTTAGAGCCAGAATGACTGATATCGAAACCAGTAAATTTACTAATATTCCCAAATATTCCGAATGTCCTAAAGTATCACAGAGCTGTCACTTAGGAATACACACAAATCTCCAACTTAGGATGGTTTGACTCACAATTTTTCGACTTTATGATGGTGCAAAACCAACACTCGTTCAGTAGAAACTGTACTTTCAGTACTCATACAACCGTTGTGGTTTTTTTTTTTTCGTTTTTAAGTACAGTCATGTGTCACATAATGATGTTTCAATCAATGAAAGACCACGTAAATGATGGTGAGCCCATGAGAGTATAATAGAACTGAAAACTTCTTATTGCCTAATGATGTAGCTGTCTTTATGTTGTAGTGCAATGCATCCTAGTGTACACAAACCTGCACTACCAGTTGTATAAAAGTATAGCACAGGCAATTATGTACAATATAGCATACTAAATAATGATAATAAATTACTTTGTTACTGGTTTATGTATTTACTATACTATATGTTTATTGTTATTTTAGATTGTACTCCTTCTACTTATTTTAAAAAAATGAAATTTAACTGTAAAACAACCTTGGACAGGTCTTTCAGAAGGTATTCCAGAAGAAGGCATTTTTATCATAGGAGATGGCAGCTCCATCTGTGTTACTGCCCCTGAAGATCTTCCAGAGGGACAAGATGTGGAGGTGAAAGATAGTGATATTGATGATCCTGACCCTGCGTAGGCCTGACCCAAACACACACGTGTGTGTTTGCATGTTAGTTTTCAACAAAATAGTTTAAAAAGTAAAAAAGAAAATAAAACATTTTAGAAATAGAAAAAAAAAGCTTGTAGAATAAAGATAGAAAGAAAGAAAATAGCTCGGGTGCAGTGGCTCATGTCTGTAATCCCAGCACTTTGGGAGGCCAGGAGTTTAACAGCAGCCTGGCCAACATGGCGAAACCCTGTTTCTACTAAAAATACAAAAATTAGCCAGGTGTTATGGTGAACACCTGTAATCCCAGCTACTCAGGAGGCTGAGGCATGAGAATTGCTTGAACCTGGGAGGCAGAGGTTGCAGTCAGCTGAGATCACGCCACTACACTGTAGCCTGGGCAACAGTGTGAGACTGTCTCAAAAAAAAAAAAAAAAAAAAAAAAAAAAGAAAAGAAAAGAAAATATTTTTGTACGGCTGCACAATGTGCTTGCCTTTTAAGCTAAGTGTTATTACAAAGTCAAAAAGTTGAAAAAAATAAAAAAGTTTGTACAGTAAAAAGTTACGGTAAGCTAATTTATTACTGAATAAAGAAAAATATGTTTATAAGTTTAGTATGGTCTAACTATAGTGTTTATAGAATCTATAGTAGCGTAATGTCCTAGGTGTTCACATTTACTCACCACTCACTGACTCATTCAGAGCAACTTTCAGTCCTGCAAGCTCCATTCATGGTAAGTGCCTTATACAGGTGTATCATTTTTACTCATTTACTGTACCTTTTCTACATTTAGATACACCAATACTTACCATTGTGTTACAATTGCCTGTAATATTCAGTACACTAACATGCTGAATAGGTTTGTAGCCTAGGAGCAATAGGCTATACCAAATATCCTCAGTATGCAGTAGGCTATACTAGGTAGGTTTGTGTAAGTATACTCTATGATGTTCACACAACAACAAAATTGCCTGACACATTTCTCAAAACATATTCCCATTGTTAAACAACACATGACTGTACTGCACACCTTCCTGGAAGTAGAAAAAAAATTGACTAAAGTTTCATTTGGATTCCAGAAGAAATATGCTGTAGTTTGGGGGATACATTTTTTCTTCCTCTCTATTCACCCAAAGTGAGCCTCACTCATACAAAAACTGGGTGGTTCTGCCCTGGTGGAATATAGACCAAATGCCCATATGGGTGTAATATGTGACTGATACGGCCCATTCCTAGGTAATCAACATTATTTTCTCTTCCACCATTCCTTAACGTGCATCCTAAAGCCTCCACTACTGTCAAGCTAAATTTGATCCCCACCTTCTGCATATTATGGCTCCCATATTTTTAGTGAGTCCAGAACAATATTCCTTAACTGCAACATATCCTTTTCTTCCGTACAAAATACACCCCTCCTACCCCTTTCTCCAGATTTCCAGTTCATATTGATCTTTTCCTCCACTGAAACCAGTGGCACTTAACTATTGTCTTAAATTGTAAACTATCTCTAAGGAAGCATATTTGTCTTCCCTACTAGTTCTAAACACGTGGGAGCACAGATTTGATCTTGTACTTCTCTGTATTTCCATATTTCCACAAAGCTTAGGGATATAACCATGTACATTTTAGAAAATAGATAAATATGGTTGGGTGCGGTGACTCACGCCTGTAATCCCAGCACTTTGGGAGGCCGAGACAGGCAGATCACCTGAGGTCTGGAGTTTGAGACCAGCCTGACCAATATGGAGAAACCCCGTCTCTACTAAAAATACAAAATTAGCTGGGTGTGGTGGCGCATGCCTGTAATCCCAGCTACTCAGGAGGCTGAGACAGGAGAATTGCTTGAACCCAGGAGGCGGAGGTTGCGGTGAGCCAATATTGAGTAATTGCACTCCAGCCTGTGCAACAAGAGCAAAACTCTATCTCAAAAAAAAAAAAAAAAAAAAAAAGGCTGGGCGCAGTGACTCAAGCCTGTAATCCCAGCACTTTGGGAGGCCGAGGCGGGTGGATCACAAGGTCAGGCATTCGAGACCAGCCTGGCCAACATGGTGAAACCCCATCTCTACTAAAAATACAAAAATTACCCAGGCATGGTGGCGCTCGCCTGTAATCCCAGCTACTCAAGAGGCTGAGGCAGGAGAATCGCTTGAACCCAGGAGGTGGAGGTTGCAGTGAGCCGAGATCATGCTACTGCACTCCAGCCTGGGTGACAGAGTGAGACTCTGTCTCAAAAAAAAAAAAAAGAAAATAAGTATTTGTAGTTCTATGATCACTAAAGATATCTACGCTGACCTATATATACCTATATAAAGATATATACCTGTACTATACTATATATCTATATTGTCCAGTATCATGTTGCCCACTGTCAAGAAACAAAATTTCACCAAATTTAGTTTAAAGTTCTTGGCCGGGCATGGTGGCTCATGCCTGTAACCCCAGCAATTTGGGAGGCCAAGGCGGGCAGATCACCCGAGGTCAGGAGTTCGAGACCAACCTGGCCAACATGGTGAAACCCTGTCTCTACTAAAAATACAAAAATTAGCCAGGCGTGGTGACACACTCCTGTCATCCCAGCTACTCAGGAGACTGAGACAGGAGAATCACTTGAACCCGGGAGGCAGACGTTGCAGTGAGCCAAGATTGTGCCACTGCACTCCAGCCTGGGCAACAGAGCAAGACTGTACTCTGTCTCAAAAATAAATATAAATAAGTAAGTAAATAAATAAATAAATCTAATTGGCTTTTATTACTGATTCATGAATCAGGCAGCATCTCAGCTATGAAACAGAAAAGTGTTTCAATGAGCTGAGCAGAAGGGGTTGGGCTTATAGGCAGAAGAGGGCTGAAGAAAGCAGAAATAAGGAACAAAAAGCAGATTGGTCATTTTGAAGTTACTTTCCTTAAAGAGTTACATCAGAGGGGGCTTCTTTATCATGCCAGCACAGGTATATGGGCCCCTTCTCCTGTTTGTTGGAAAATTGGCCCCTTTTAAAGTTGAGTTTAATTATGTGGCAC